TTGTCAAATACGAGACTGTAGTGCCATAGCACCTCTCTTGAGACCAAGACTCATATGAATACATAGAGATACATAGTTTATACAACAAAATATAGCTAACTACTAATTAGTATCATATTTTCAACAAAAGAAAACACTAATCAAACATCTTATATCAAGTTCTTTGGCTGAAAGGATTTGCGAAACATTAAGTTTAAATGGAATAACCCGTTTAAGTATATTTGAATTTGAAAAATAAAAGATAAATAACTGATGAAAGATAATAATGTAAAATTACTGGATATCATAGTGCAAAATAATTATTTTTAAATATAAAAAGAATAGCGTTAATCCCTTAGCTTAGTTCAGAATCTACTTTCCAGTCGTTACACCTTCCCCTTCATCATGACTCCCTAGCATTTTAAATTTATGTAGCTTAAATTTGAAAACAGTAAAAAGAAAGGGCAGCAAATAGATTATTAGAAACTAAACATTAAATTAGAGTTCATAGAAAAAGAACATCACATTATACTACTAATTTGTTAAGGGGATATATATCAGAGGCGGGTTTGAAGCATGTGGGTTCGAGATTCTAGTTTGTTTATGTTATTGGGTTCTAAATTAATAATTTATATATCTTAATAAACTTTTTAAGGAAAATACATGGTTTAGATCAAAATTATTGGGTTCAGTCGAATCGCAAATCCTATGCTAGCTCCGCCCGGGATATATGACTACAGTTGATTCGTTCAAGATTTACGAAACCTAAATCATAGAATATCGCACTTACATGGATATTTTTTTTTTCCGCCACTTACATGGATAATGAACTATTCTTACTTTTCTCATGTTCAATCTTAAATAAATGGGGAAAAAATAATGAAATAAAAAAGGAAAAGAAATAAAAAGGAAAATAATGAAACCATATCACGCATGAAGGGGGGAAAGAAATATCCCAACTCTTTTTCTACACTTTCCGTCTTTTTTTCTTTCTTTTTCTCGGAGAATTTACCATCTTTGGTACTTTATCCTCTCCCCTCGAATATGCAACCCTAAATTCCTAAATTTTCTCCTCATGATCAAAGATGAAAAATATTTAGGAAATTAAAGATGCTGATACCAATTCTTCATTTAGGAAATTATAGTATCATCGTTGACATGATACTATAAGTATTTATCAACATCAACAAAGATGAAAATCACCACTTATTCCATGATACTATAAGTATTTAAATCAGGAAATTAAAGAAAAATTACTTAACATGAGTACCATAATTATGACATAAAGTAATAAAATACTTCTAGTAAGAGAAAAGGCATACTGTATGTTGCTTAAGTTGACGTCTTCCATGAACACTTCTAATGATCCAACCGGTCATTTTAACTTTTAGAACCCTGTTTCTTAAAATAAAACTCCACGTATGTGCTTTTAATGATTTATGACTTGCGGGGATGGTTAGTTCGAGACTTGAAAGTGTTCGGGTTAAAATTGGAACACATGGTTCCTTAAGTTGACCTTAAAGTGCTAAGTTTGACTTCGGTCAACATTTTCAGAAAACGACCCCGGAATCGGTATTTGACGGTTCCAATAGTTCAGTATGGTGATTTTGGACTTAGGAGCGTAGTCCAAATTTTATTTGGAAGTCCGTAGTTAAATTAGACTTGAAATGGCTAAAACAAGAAATTAAGTTTGGAAGTTTGACCAGGATGTTGACTTTTTGATATCGGAGTCGGAATCCAGTTTCGAAAATTTTTATAGCTCCATTATGTTATTTATGACTTGTGTGCAAAATTTGAGGTCAATCGGACTTGATTTGATAGGTTCCGACACCGAATGTAGAAGTTGGAAATCTTAAGTTTCGTTAAGTTTGGATTGGAGGATGATTCGTGATTTTAGTGTTGTTTGGTGTGATTTTAGGGTTCGACTAACTTCGTATGATATTTTGAGACTTTTTGGTATAATTGGTTGAGGTCCCAAGGGGATCAAGTGAGTTTCGGACGGCTAACAGATCACTTTTGGCCTTTGGGAGACTGCTGATAGTTGCTGGTATTTTTTTCTTCTGATTTCCTTATACGCGATCGCGTAGATTTGTCTGCGATCGCGTAGAGTAATTAGGGCAGAGGCGACTTTGTTCTACGCGATCGCGTGAATGGGGTTGCGATCGCCTAGGCTTAATTTGGGCAGCTAGAAATATTGTTCTATGCGATCGCGTGGGCACGTCCGCGATCGCATAGGTTTGGCCAGCATGTGCATGCGATCGCGTGCAATTGTTTGCGATCGCGTAGGGAAAACTGGAGAGGAAGCTGAGCCACACATTTGCTCTGTGTGATCGCGTGAAGAGGGATGCGATCGCGTAGAGTTGGAACTTTGTGCATCGCGATCGCGTGGGACTTTATGTGATCGCGTAGGATTATTTTCTAGGCAGAAAAATTTGTGTTACGCGATCGTATGAGGAAGCTCGCGATCGCGTAGAAGCAATCACTAGGCATTCGTCCCATTTTTCATTTTTAACGATTTGGAGCTCGGATTTGGACGATTTTTGGGAGATTTTGAGAGAAAACAACGGGATAAGTGTTCTTAACTCAATATTGGTTAAATTACCCGAATCCATCACTATTTTTATTATTTAATTGGTGAATTGAGTTGGAAAAGTTTGGAAACTCTCTTGGATAGATTTGAAGATTTGAGGGCCGAATTGTTATCGAAATTTAGTGATTTTGGTATGGGTAGACTCGTGGTTGAGTGGGCGTTCATATTTTGTAACTTTCGTCGAATTCCGAGACGTGGGTCCCACAGACGATTTTTAAATTAATTTCGGATTTTCATTGAAAAATGTAGTACGAATTGATTCCTATAAATTTTAGTGATTATATCGAATTATTTTGGCTAGATTCGAGCTAGATAGAGCTGGATAATCGTGGAAAAGGACTTCTAGAGGATTAAATTGGAGCAAATTGAGGTAAGTCTCTTATCTAATCTTGTGAGGGGGAATTTACCTCATATGTGATTAAATTAATAATTGTTGTTAATTGTAGGGGCAACGTACGCACGAGTTGACGAGAGTTCGNAATTTTCTGTTTAAATTAATTAATTGTTAAAAGAAATTGTTCATTCTCCCGAATTTATCTTATTATAAATATACTCTCCTTCCGGAGATACATAAGAAAATGTCCTCCTTTCTTGTGGAGCGGGCTGAATGACTCAGCAGGATAGATGCATCCATGGATCGTGCTGCACGTCCCTCGACAGTGTACACGACACTCTGGATCGGATCGTACGACCTCGAAGGAAATCGTGCCTAATAATAATAATTACACGATACTTTGATAGTTTATTACAGCTTGTGAAGCTAATTGATAAATTGAAAATCTTTAAAATTTGAAGAATTATAATCTCTGCATGTTAAGGAATTATTGTTATTCGTGTAAATGAGGCTAATTGATAAATTAAAAATTTATTGAAATTGAAGGAATTTAATTAATATATTGAGATTTGTTGCATTTGAAGGAATTTAATTATTTCTGCTGGTTAAATAAATTATTGTTAATTTTGTGAATCATGTTGATTTAAATATTCTAGTTTTATTTCAAATATTATTATTGACCCATAGTGAGTGTCAAAGTCGGTCATCTCGTCTCTACCACTTCGGGATTAGGTTTGATACTTACTGGGTATACGTTGTTTACGTACTCATACTACACTTGCTGCACTTTTTGTGTAGGACCTGAGGCAAGTACTAGTGGAGGACCTATCGTCTTACACACACGTTATCCAGGGACGTAGTGGTGAGTTACCTTTCTAAGTCGTTCTGCAGCTACGAGTGTCTCTTATTGTATTTACATTCTATCTATTTTATTTCAGACAGTATTTAGAGTTTTGCATAATCTAATAGATGCTCATACACTTGTGACACCAAGTCTTGGCACACACATTGGTAGAATTTAGAATTTGTATTATTTTCTTGGATTTAAGTTAATCGGTATCTTTTTCAATTTCTTTAATATTGCTAGTAAATTAATAAAATTTCTCAGAAAATTATTTCGAAAATAATTGATATATATTTAATTAATTTGTTGGCTTGCCTGCGTGTAGTGTTGAGCGCCGTCACGACTGACCTATAAATGAAATTGGGTCGTGACAACACTCGGGAATAGAAGATTGTAACATACAATATGATGCGCCCAATAAGAGAAAAAGTATCACATTTGTCCCTTTCTATGCATTCTCTAGCCCCAAAACACAATTATGCCTCCATTTTATGTTAGAGTTCGGCAAACATCTGTTGAATTGAAAACATCAGCGTATTTGGACAATGTGAAATTTTTATCACAAAGAATATTTTAAATGAATAACATTTTGGTCGAACCAAACACACCAGGCACAATTTATATTAATGAAAAAAGAGGAAAAATCAAATGCAGAAAAGGGGATGAGGAATGGGTAAGTTTCATGAGAAAGTATGTGGAGACCGGAGAGTTTTCGGTTTAGTAGGAGAAAATGAAAATAAAACGGTGGAAAACAAATGAAAATGTGGCTAAAGAGGTTAAAGAGAACGAACAGTCGCTTTTCATCCGAAAATAAGATAAACAGAAAAATTAGAATAAATAGCAAAAAATATGGAAAAAGATAAATGGCTTCTCTCATCACATATAGTGCCACGTCACATGTCTTAGGCCATGTTTTATATAATTATGCTCTGCACGGGCCCAACATTAAAATAGTTCAACAGATCGAAAACTGATTTAAAACAGCTCAAAGTTGAGCCAAAAAGTTCAATATTAACATATTTGACTGGAAAATTTGTAGAGTTGCAGTTAATATAGCTCCATTCAACTAAAACTCAATATACTCCCGCTGTCTCAATTTATGTGGCGCGGTTCAAATTTCGAGAGTCTTGACCATGAATTCGGACGTAGAATCTTTAAATCTTTTGAAATACATTTATATATTTGGAAACTACGTAAAGAGTACTATAAGTCACAATAATATAATTAGTAATTTATAATATTTAAAAGGCATATGAGAAAATCATGATCAAAGTAAAACTACTCTCGAAATCCAAATGGTGCCACATAAATTGAGAGGCAGGGAGTAGTTACATTGCCCCGACAGTTTATATACGAAATATAAAATTATAATATAACAAAACGTTTTTAGTTCATTATTCATACAAAGGCAGAAACTATAAACACAGAGCAGCAAGAAGAAAGGCAGCAACAGTGGTACAGAGTCACCATTTTCCTTCTCCACTACAAAAATTTAATTTTGCATGATATTTCTCTCCTTTCCATTACTGAGTAGCTTTGCAGCCAAAGCCTCAACAGGAAGCAGGGTATAATATTGGCTTTTTTCTTCTCCCCTAACAAAGGGTTACTACTGACAGCTCACTACTGTGAAGTGACTGATTTTTCTCAAATATAATGTCAACATCTTCAAGCAGCAAAAACCAAGAAGCATCATAAAATGAAACTTATCATATGCTTATGCTAATCCAATAGAAGAAATAATAACAAAAATGATGGATAGAATATTTATCCACACCAACAAATATGTAAAATTTATCAAGTGAAATATAGCAACTGACAAATTATTCAATTGCCAAAAAAAATATACTTCTCATCAGTGTCTCCAAACATAATATTGACTGCAAAAATTGATCATGTGAGTAAAACTAATACCAATCGAACTAAATAACATATTATAATATTGGCAACCAGAAACTGGTAGAAATAGAAAATGACTATTTTTTTGCCCGCTGAAAGCTAGTCGACTCACATATCTTGAATTCTCAATTCAAAACTGCACTCATGGGAGGGTTAGTAACGACTAATATCCCAGTCTTGTCTCTCTTAAGCATGTTTTTCTATTAGGTCACTATTTAAACATTTTTTTTCCAAATGGCTTTAGAATAAACAACATTCTATGTAACATGGTCATCATGACGAACTAATGTAGAGGCTCAAACTGAGTTTTTTTTGCTCAGCAATACTTGCAACAGGTTTCTAGTGGACAGGATGACTTTCTGCTTTTTCACCTACACTATATGGTGATCCTACACTGTAACTACTCAAATTTTCTGCCTTTTTTATTTATCAGTTGGTGCATCCTTTTTTACTCTTCTTTCTGTGAAAAATTTAGAACCACTAATGAAAAATATAATATAGTGGAGATCAGTGTTGATAATGAATCATAATGTGATATTGTGCACCTATACTACCATGCCGTATTCCACTTGCAGGCATATCAAATGTAGCATATTTTCGATCCCCTCTTTTAGCTCTGTTTATATTAACTTGCTAAATTTTTTGGAGTAGAACCATTTTCTAAATAATATGTGAAGTGTAAAAGAATGAATTTAAACATGAGAGGCCATAATCATGGTAAGAGAGCTTGTTTCGTTAGTCTGGCCTCCTTAAGATTGCAACGAAGTTACAGTTTTGTAATTTTAAATTGTCATCATTTTTCCAATCCACATTATCAACGATTCAACAACATTAGATGCAAATTTACTTGGTTTTGCATTGAGACAATTCATTTGATGAAAAAGAGTAAATTTATCTTTCTCAATCTATGAAAGGACATAGTCATGGCCATTGAACGATTAAGTCTTTCTGTTTTGCAATGTCTATAATATTTCTTGAAATCTTTTTGCATTTGGTCTCAAACATATATAGACATAACTACTTCATTCTATATCAAAACAGACGAAAATAGAACTCAAATTGTGTTAGCATAAATACTTAAATTTAACATTAGCTCGAAACTTTAAACCCGAGAAGGCTAAGATTTAAGGATGTGCGCAATCTAAGTTAGGAAGTCTTGAAGATAAGTCATAGAAACAAAGGCTATAAGCTACCCAAAATGTATTATAGTAAATTGTAAGCTTGCAAAATAGACTTCTTGAATTACCATTTTCAGTTGATGGATTGAGAAATGTGTTCAGTTGATTCTTGCTGATTGCCATGAGAGTGGTCTCTATGGAGGCTGCGCATACAGAAAAAGATGATTTCTGTTTACCGAATGTTTTTGTGTTAAATGAACAAAACAAAAAAGTGTTAAACGAAACTTCTGATATCTTACAACAAAAAAAATCTAGATGAATTTTGAGAGTTCAGAAACATTTTCTTACATTTTGGCAGCGTAATAGAAAGCACCTGAAAATCCATTATGTCATGATTCATTTAATTTGACCTCAAGGTCTTTGAACTCCTGCAGGACAGTTGTAGCCTTTGAACTAGGATGCATATACAAATTAGCTGTCATTCTTGGGAAATGTAAGCAACCTGAAAGCTCAATCTTTAAACTTAGAAGGTATACAAAGCTGAGATTTTACTCCTGAACCTTACAAAGAAAGCTTGACTTTCTAACAGTGACTTTTCTCCAAACATGTATTCTGTGTCATGTAAAGAAAACATATGTAACATGTATATAATTTAATCATTGCAATGCTGTCTCTCATGTTACATGAAAAAATCACTAAAATAAAATTCACAAAAAAATGGTCAGCTATAAGAGCATGCATGTGCAGACTCAGTGAATCAACCAAGCAATAGGCCAAAAGAAAATGAGGCAAGTCGAAGCTTATTGGAAAGAGTAGTAGAGCTAATGGCCAAGAAATAGAGACATAGGTAACAATAGAGGATGATTGTGCTCGGTCAATTGGTGCTCAGTGCTTATAGGCATCGGTAACTGGAAGCCAATTGAACTGAAAGATCTGATAATGGGAAAGAAAACCAAATCAAATGCAACAAACGGGTAACCTTACTGGAAGAGGAAGAGTAAAAGTAACAGGTAATCAAATGCAACAAACGGGTAACCTTATCTTTTCCAATGCCATTGCATCAATATCTTTGTTTGCTTCATAAAGAATATAGAAAAAGAATAATCATGCCAAGAGAGCGATGGTAAAATCCAATGACACTGCTTCAAGAACGGAGCTTAGGCTCCAGTTGAAAGTACCAATCTTACTCAATTAAAATTAGAAACAATTATGTATCTCAAACATGCACCTAGACATCTATATACAAACATGCATCTGTAAATAAGAAACAGTAGTGACATGCATGTACAAAATCCAGCAAGAACCTATGCAAGAGAATCTAGAAAAACTATCAAATATCCACCAAATTCTTATTACCAAGAAACAAAGGCAAAAATCAAAGAAAGAATCGAAAAAAACTTACTATATCAGAAAATACAGTAGACCCACACCTTGTTCCCAAACTAACCAATTGCACAAGTTTTATTCTTTTCAATCGGATGCCCTCTGAGGGGACACAAATTGCACAAGTTTCCATTAACATCTTAAGGAGGGATTTAGGGCTCAAAATAAAGACTGTTGCAATTTCTAAAAATCTTGCAGCAAAAATAAAAAGAGTAAAAATCCTTACCAGAACCCATAGATTCAATGGAGGGCTATATAAAAACAGTAAAACTAAGAAGTGAGTCATGTAAGAAGCAGTGGTGATTAAACAAAGAAAAGAAAGCAGAAAACTCAAACTAATTGAGAAATAGAGAAATTAGCCGAGAAAACTTGGAACCAAATTAAAACATCTCAAAGAGATCAAATTGAAGGATGATGATCAGAATAGTTTCTAGAATGGACTATTGGAGTGTGGCAGTAAAAAAATATAAATTGAAAGTGGAATACACGTGTTTAGAGATGAATAGGATGAAGAAACTCAATCACCAATTTACCCTAAAAAATAAAACTAATTAGATGGTGTAAGTCAAGGATATAATAGACAAACAACCATATACTCATTTAATGAAATGGCCAACTACACGTTACTATTCACATGGAATCTAGTAAAACAACATGTTCGTCCCACCCCAACTCCCATTTCTATATAGTAGGAATATAGATGCTTAAGCCAGTTTCCTTGAAATATACTCCAAGTTACTTAATTTCATCCAATTCTATTAGGAGTGTCAAATGTGCGTGCTGGGCCGGTCAAAATGAGCTGGGTAAATAAATAGGCGGGTCACAAATAACTTGGTCAGAGATGAGCTGAATCAAGTTGTGCTAAAATTTAGGTCATAACCTAACCCGTTCAACTCTTACCAAGCTTTAATTGATGTGTGTTATTTTTTTTATGAATTGTTTAATTATCAGATAAGACTTTTTTTTATTAGGGTCATATATAACATATCAAATAAAAGAAAGTCATATTTAAGATATTTATGCAAAGCTACTCATGGATCAATTTGGACTAAAAATCAGCCCAATTTTAGATGAGTTGAAATTGATTGGATCAAGATGGACTGAGTTCAGCAATTGGGTGGGACAATGACTAGCCCAACTTTGGGCGAGTTGGACAGCTCAAAATGGGTTTGGGCCACCCATACAATTCATATATTCAATTTGGAATAAGATTGGATATATTAGAATCGGTATTGGTGCAATAGAGGAATATTCGAAGGGAAATCTTACGGAAATATCCCAAATAAGTTTTAACTTACCAACTTCTAGCAATTAATTTTAGACATACCAAAACTAGCTAAGCACATACAAAAATTAAAAACTCAAATAAATAAGGATTCTTCCTCTCTAATAATCACATACAAAGATTTCCTTCTATATTTTTAAGCATTTTCAGCAACATTAGATGCAAGACGAAAAGAAAATTTCATGGATAGGTAGCAAACAAGTTGATGAATTACAAAAAATAAAAAAAATTATACAAGATAGAAGCGACCTTTTTAATATCAATGTGTATAGTTAAAATCATTGAAAACATAAAGATGAGTCAATATATGAAATTTGAGGAAGATTAGAAGTGATTTGGACTAATTTAGTATCAAAATTCGTAGTTTAAATCGAATTCGAAAAATTCTTCCGCGACACATGTATCTCACACACGGGTATACATGGATAAATATGTGATACATATTTGATATGAATATGATACATATGTTATACACAAATGATACACAATATGATATACAATGTGATACACATATCATCTTTTTCCATGTTCATCTTCTACTTCAAATTTTCGATTCAAACCACCTCAATACTCTACCAAATCAACCCAAAACTGAGATTTAAACTTCATAAGATGTATCCAATCTATTACCATAACACACACTCAAAAGAAAGCAAAAATTGGATTTTGTTTGCTACAAATAGCTAATTGACTAATATTAATAATATTTTATGAATTGACTAATTTTTATACGAATGAACGACATAACTGGTAATTTTCCCATTTTAAGAACCATGCGACTGAGAACTCCTACAACAATAATCATAATTCCTGTTTACCCGAAAAATAAATAAAGTTAAATTTATACGCAGTTCCGAGGATATGTGGTGTAACTTGATACAAAATGCAAGGATAAATAAAATGTAAATGTAGATTGGAGAGAATGCAATCTAGACAAGGTTATCAAGAATAGTGAACCTTAGAATTCGACAAATAGAATTCATCTAAGAAACTGGAAGAGCGATACTTTACTGTAGAGGAATATAATACTTTTATTACAATGTAAGTCTCAGAAGAACCTGTCTACAGAAATGATAACCAAACCCTTTTATAGTGGAGGGATTCGGCTCTACGCATAATAAAATAAACATTCAGTGGGAGACCCATGATAAGTCAGTTTTTTCATAATTTCTGCCAAGATTCCCTCTAGTGGGACTGCAACGACTTTTGTCTGCGATCTCAATCTCGCTTAGAATCCTCGATTTTGGTTCGAGCTTGATTTTGGCTCGAACTTGTGATCTTGGTTCGAGCCCGATCCTGGTTTGAGCCCTCGAATTGATCCCAGGCCAGTGTTGGTTGGTCTTTGGATTATCGGCACGATAGGTCTACCCTGCGCCATGGTACGTTTCCTGTTCGAGTTCGATTATGGTATCGATCTCGATAGGGACCGGCCTCCCCGGGTTCGAGGTTAGTTCATCCCCCCTTCGGGATCTTACTTCGATACATCACCCTTCGAACCATATCGGACATGCCAAGGCTGAAATCTATTTCGACAGTATACAGATAGTCCCCTCGTTTTTCAGAAAGAATATGGCGAGAAACGATATGATTTTCAACAGCTCAATCGGATTATATCTTGTCGTTTCCATCGGGTTCGACCATGACGCATCTGGTAGCTGTCCCGTCGGTTTAGTCTTTCAAGGTATTTAATGCATGTCAGGCGGTGGTCGGCCACTGCTGATACTGAACCGCCATCGTTTGAACCTATAAATAACCCTTACTTTTATCTTTTACCATTTTTACATCTTCTATCTTCCAAAATTCCCCAAGTTCTTCTTCGTACTCTCCAACTTACCAGTAAAGCTGTGATTTCTTTCCGAAATAACCCCTCTTTAATTCTACCAAATCTCTCTCACTTTCTTTTATTCCTTACTTTTGAATTCAAAAATGGCAAAAACATCGCAAACTATTCCTCAGAAAGAGAAGGCTTCATCTTCACAGTGTGTCGCCGATGAGGCACCGGCAGAACCACGGCCTGAGGAGTGTGTTCCCGGGGTGTGCTTCCTTACTTCAGATTTTAAGGTTGATAAACGTTCATCGGTCCCTGGCCGGTGTGAGCCGGTATCGAGGTACATGTGTTCTATAACCGAGAAGCACCTCGATCTGTTAAAGAAGGATTGCAATTGGGGTGAAAAAGAAGTAATAATACCTACCCCTGACGAAGATATCGCTTATTACGTGAAAGGGTTTTTGAACGTATATACTTACCCTTTCACTTTGGGTCCCCTCGATTCCGTCATTATTGACTTCTGTCGACAATATCAGGTAACCCTAGGCCAGGTCCATCCTTCTTTGTGACGGATCGTTATCCTGATCCGATATTTTGCGAGCAAAATCAAGAGGATGTCGTTCACCCTCGATCATCTTATCCAGCTGTACCGTCCCCGACTTTTTCGAGGAGGGTTAATAAAACTCCAGCGTCGGGCTACCAAGGCTCTGTTATCAAGTATTGACGAGGACAGGGACCGGGGTTGGATGGACAGGTTCGTTCGAGTAAGCACTTCGTACCTGATCCCAACTGAAAAGATGCCATTTTCCCAAAGAGTGGAATATGAAACGTAAGTGTGATCTTGCTGTAGCTTCTATTTTGTTCTTCCATTTATTCTCTTATCGACACTCCTCCTTTTGTGATGTAGCGGTTCCCTGGATGCCCGGAGCAGTTCTCGATCTCAAGAACTGGGTACGGGCTCTTGTTTCGACCTCCACATACGCCGAGCGCTCATGGTGTGATTTGTCAAAGGGTCGGTGGGAGGCCAAAAATCACGGTAAGCTCATTTCTCAAACTCTGATGATCCGAACGAGGCGTTTCTTAAAATATTTTTTATAAGGTTTTCCATATGCAGGTTTGGGTAAAGACGCGGTCTTGAGGCCTCTGTCCAATGAGGAGCACGTTTCGACCTCTGTCCCAAAGCCGGTGAAGGAAAATAAAAGGAAGAGAGCCTCGGTTCCCGAATATCCAAAACCGAAGAAGAGGATGGCTCGTAAGCCGAACAAGAATGTCATTCCTTTGACCATGGAATCCGTTTTGCGTCTAAGGGATGAAGATGAAGAAGAAGAACAAGAAGACAATGAGTCCGCGCTGGCGGTCCGAACGAAGAGAGCCACCGATGCCTCATCGCCGGCTGGATCGATGATGCTCTATGAGGCTCCGCATCAAACTGAAGATATACCGAAGAAAGATTCAGGTAGAGTCCCCGAACTATCGGATGTTGAAGACGCCTCTCATCGGAGTCAATCGGCAGGGGTTACCATTGAAGAGCCCCTCGAACCCCTCCAAGCCGAGGAGAACTCTCCAAGTGAGTCATTTGGGGCAACAGCAATCGAGGATTCGCCTACTTTTCCCGTATTTTCCGCAAGGGTGATTCGGGAAGCTCAAACTCTAGGAGCCCTCGATCTAGACAGGCCTCACGATGAAGAAGATCCATTTCGTGACTTGTTTACTGGTATCGAGGACGTTGCCGGTGCAGGTGATGAATCAGATCTTTTTCATGGATTGCGGCAGGCTTTGAATCAGGCGAGTTATTGCTCGGACTTGAAGCTGTAGCCCGTAGGCTTAGTCGAGTGAATGATCCGAACTCTAATCAATGTAGCCCGCAGGCTTAGTGGTCGAGTGAGTGTTCGCTCGAACTCGAAATAAAAAATAGCCCATAGGCTTGGTCGAGTGAATAATTCGAACTCGATGTAATGTAGCCCGTAGGCTTAGTAGTCGAGTGAGTGTTTGCTCGAACTCAAAATAAAAATAGCCCGTAGGCTTGATCGAGTGAATGATTCAAACTCGAAGTAATGTAGCCCGTAGGCTTAGTAGTCGAGTGAGTGTTTGCTCGAACTCAAAATAAAAATAGCCCGTAGGCTTGATCGAGTGAATGATTCAAACTCGAAGTAATGTAGCCCGTAGGCTTGGTCGAGTGAATGATTCAAACTCGAAGTAATGTAGCCCGTAGGCTTAATGGTCGAGTGAGTGTTTGCTCGAACTCGAAATAAAAATAGGCCGTAGGCTTGGTCGAGTGAATGATTCGAACTCGAAGTAATATAGCCCGTAGGCTTAGTGGTCGAGTGAGTGTTTTCTCGAACTCGAAATAAAAATAGCCAGTAGGCTTGATCGAGTGAATGATTCGAACTCGAAGTAATGTAGCCCGTAGGCTTAATGGTCGAGTGAGTGTTTGCTCGAACTCGATTAATGTAGCCCGTAGGCTTAATGG